ATCTATCTATCTATCTATCTATCTATCTATCTATCTATCTATCATCTAGTCTACCTGCATTTTGTGAATATAGCTATTCTAATAAGTACCAACTTGCCTAAATGTAATGTGTTCTTTGTCTGCACAGAAAAGTTTCTTCTCTTTACATAGACATTTGGATGATTCGTCAACTTGCAGTGATATTTCCAAACACAATTTCCCCAAAGTTGCATCCCCACTTTCTACAGGGACACTTTCTACAGGAAATGAGAAGTGACCATGGATCTCCGCCTTCTCAAAGGTTTATATTATGAAGCGTCGGTTATGTGAGATAGCAACAACACTTTTTCACTTGGGTTTTTCTTTGTTCAGGCTTCTGCATGTGCTAGTGCAGCCACCTCTTTCGATGTCTTGCCTAGGATCAGCCAGCTGGACAGAGGACTGATTGAGAAATGGAAGTCAGCAGAAATCGGAAGTGAAGCACAGCAGAATGCTAAAAGGTTGCTACTTGTATTGCCTTGTATTTTGCCAGTATCTGACCAAAAAAAATGTATTTCTGTAAGCATCTATCAGCCCTTTGTGGAAGTCCAGGCAAGAAGGACGACTAGGAGTATCTCTACTGTAAAGCTACATTAGCAGAATTTTGCACATCTGAAAGTCCATCTCTCCCCCACCCTCACCTTTAAACTCTCAAAATTAGGGAAGGTCTCTAGCTGTTTCCTGCAAGGTTTCCTGCTTGAACAGGCGGGGTAAAGACCTCCAAGGTGGGTTGTCTCACCTAGTCACACTGTGCGCACTCTGACATGTGAGATGTCTACACTAACAAATGTGGAAAGTAAACTTTGTCAAGATTTACATGGAAGTTGATGAACTCTTATTTATATTTTCCGATTCACATTTTATTCGGACTGTAAACTAAAGGAAGTGATTTCAGTCGCATTGGACAAAGTGGGAGTTATTTCTAAGCAAGTGTAAATATAGGTTGGTGTGCTATTGTTTTATTAATGGCTTTTCTTTTTATCTGTTTGGTAGGGAGATAGAAGAAATTTTCTCCTCACCTCCTTGCTTAACGGCAAGCTTTTTACAAACAAGGTGAGTAGCATGCATTGTATGTAGCAGTGCAGTCAGATTCTCAGGAGAAAATTCCAAGTCCTGATTCACTAGTGCAGGGATCCCCAAACTCTGTGCCTACTACCTCGCTGTGGCCTTTTCGCAACCAGGCCTTGTGAGTGGTGGGCTGGTGGGCATGCAGGCATACAGCTCAACTCATGCAAGTGACAGTCCGGCAGGCATATGTGCGTGCAGCTCATCTTGTGCAAGTCGAGCTGCGCATATGTGCTCACCGGCCCACTATGGGTTCCCCTCTCTCCCCCAGCCGGGCCACCAAGCCGCGAAGGTTGGGGATTGCTATACTAGTGTAATCCAAGTGATTTAACATCTGAAGAAATAGTTGATTGCATTTATCTGCCCCTTTTTCTTCTATATGATCAGGACAATATTTCCAGAACAGTTGTAACTTCCCAGCCACTTTTCAAGGTCAATTGGGTTGCAGAGTAGTTAACAACTCAATTAACTAATTAACCTAACTAGCTCTGTGATTGAATTAAGGCTTAGATGTAAATCCATTCCAAATTCTTCAAATCATTATGGCTGCAAAATGTCCCATTGCCTTTAAAAATGAAGGCACTAGGCTCTTGAGATTATCAAAGGATTGCCATATTGCTACTGTTTGCAGACCCATAACCCTGCCAGATATTTGGAAAACAAATTGCAGTCATCTTCAAACTTGTTAATCTCAAAAAACTGAAAACAAGGAGCAAAAGTCACTGCCAGGCCACGGCTATTCTGAATCTTGCAACAACAAACACCCCATCATTTCCAAACTATATAAAAGGAGATAAAATATATTATTTGTCCTTCCCACCCATAACCTTATTTCAGTTTTTATCTGGTTCTAAGCTTTAAGTAGGTGTAATTAAATTCCCAGTGGTTTATCTGAAGAAGATCCTTAAATCCTGATAAGTCCATTTTCGCTTTGAAAGATCTGAAGCCCCAAAGCTAGGAAATATAGGTGGTCGCTGTATCAAATTTCTGAATGAAAGCATTAAGAAACATGTGATTGAGCTTTGGACATTCCTCAGAAAATGGACATCCCATTTTTCCTCCTAGATCTGATGTGTCAATGGACGGTTTTGTCCCAGTGAATCTGCAAGAAGCAAGAGAAGTTTTGAAGGAACTTACTATGACAGATTGGATTGCTCGGCAGGTAAAGAAAAAATATTTTTCTTTCAATACAGGGATTATTCCTCATTGGACAGACTATTGATTGTTCTGTGATCAGATGAGAGAATCCATAGTTGGACTGGTATATAATCCTGATCCCCCACACAACTTCCAGTCGTGTGAAGGTTGTCCTAACAGTAAGAGCAAAAACCAAAAACCAGAATTCTAATCTAGAACACAAGGAGAGCACTTGGCTTCCCACCCCAGTTTTAGATGCCTTCGGATAACCATTATCTCCAACTGGAATGCAACTTCTGTAAGAATTCACTGCAGATCTCCCTGTGGAATTGGGAGCTCTGCCTCTTCATGAGTTCCAATTACACAGAAGTCCAGTCCTGATGTGCTCCATTCCATCCATAGCCCATGTCACTCTGTAGAGTGCTACAGAGTAAAAACAAAAAATAACATTAAGAAGCTCATCCGCTTTCCCTACTCCAACAATGTCACAGCCCCACGAAGATTAAAAACACAGCAGAATAAAGTTATGGAAAGCCAAGCAGGAGGTCACTACATTTAGTTTTATGAGTTGAATTATCTAGAACAGGGATCGCCAACCTTTTGGACCTCAGGGACCACCAAACTCATAATTTTAAATCCCGCAGACCAGAGACCCTGGGAAAATCCCCAAAAAAGTCTGCAGAAAATTCCCCCCCCCACCGTTTTCCTACTGATTGATCATTCTTTATTTGGGTTCGCAGGATACCATCTCCAGCTCTGTTCTCAGGGGGGCGGGGAGAGAGAGAGAGAGACTTTTGGCTTCATGCAAGGAAAGCAGCAGAAGCAGCAGAAGTCTTTCTTTCTCTCCCCCAAACTCCGACAGAAATGAGTCTTTGTGAGACTTGTCGTACCGGCATAGCCTCTTGGAGCAGGATGCCTTGCAGGGTCCCAGACTCATTTCTGGCCGAGTTTGGGGGAGAGAAAGAAAGACTTTTGCTGCTTTCTTTGCATGCAACCAAAAACAGAAGAAAGAAGCGGAAAGAAGCAGCCCGGGGCCAAGTTTCCCCCTCCGCCCTTTCCCCCATCCCCTCACTACCTCATGTTGTTTGCAATGCAAGTAATGCAAGCCTTGTGTTCCCGCGGACCATGTGGGTGGCGCAGCCTTGTGTTCCTGTGTAGCTTGGATTAATTGCTTTGGGGGATGCTTTGGGAGTGACATTTCTCTGCGGACCACCAAAATTTTCTTGCAGACCACCGGTGGTCCCTGGCCCACTGGTTGGTGACCACTGGACTAGAACATAGGAGCTACACAGAGAAGGCTTGTTACCTGATCCATGCAACCTCAACCTCATGGGACACTAGTGTCTCTTTGCAGGCCCTTTTAATATCTTCTCACTTAAGACAGATTCAGTCCTTGCAAAGTCATGTCTGATCATGCAACCTGGTGCTACACCACTCCATTCAGGAGTGGGCAGGACAACAATCGTTCCTTCTTACATATCTGCTTTTCTTCTGAAACTAGATAGATCTGTACCCAGCTATACCTACTGTTTTTAAACAGATCGATTCTTCTCTATTGGACCACCTATTTCTTGCTCTTCCACGGAGTTCTCCTCACCAAGAAGCTCTTGCTATTTTTCTCCTGGTGCCTGAGTGCTGTGTTGCTCTTGAAGCACGCAGGATACCGTCACTAGCTTTAAAGTTTGCTAAAGCTGTCACAGGTCTGAGCAAGGGCGCTTCCAACATTCTAGGTGAGTTTGGGACAATTCTCCTTTTCTCTTTTCACACATCCTGTGTGCCCCCCATTCATATGTTACATTCCTCAGTCTCTCAGCTCAAGAGAATTCTACATTTTCTCAGCAAAAGCAATAGAGCCATAAGCATAGAAGGTTTCATAGAGATTATTTAATCCAAGATAGCTATCTGATCTATGTTTGAACCCCTCTAGTGAAGGGGAATCTACGTCTTCATGAGGCAATGTATTCCATTGTTTGATGGCTCTGACTGTAATGCTTCCTTGTAGATTCATCTCACTGCTTCTGATCTTGCTCTCCAGGGTAACAGAGAACTAGGGTATTCCTTTCTCTGTGTGACAAACCTTAAATGTTTGTTTGTTTCATTACATTTTGAAACCATCCAATGTAATGTGACTTCCATTATAGAATAAAGCAAGAAAAAAAAGAGGAAATCCTGAATATCTATAATGAGAAACTCAACACCTTAAAAAATTCCACAGAAGGGAAAAACAAAAAGAGCTCCACAGCCACCCTACTTTGACTGAGAACAAAGCCAGGTTTTCAGCGGTTTTCAGAACCATGCTTTATAGGTCAGCCCTTGAGGACATCAAGAAAATTGCGGAAAACCTAAAATGTGTCCTACAATGTATTCTCACTGCTATAGGAAGCCTCAAGTGGCTTGGGGGCAAGTCAGTCACAAGAGTTGCACGAGGTAGTCCGGAGTTGCACAAGGGAGGGGCTCTTTTCTAGGGAGCAAAGAGATATTTTGGAATTTTTTGGTATGCAGAAAAAGAGGGAAGGTGAACCCCCTCCTGGCAGTTTACCAGGTAGATCTAATAATTATGCAGATAATGCTTTAGTCTGGCAAGATTAATGTCAAGCCAAAGAAACCAAGAGCTTTTGATAACTCTCAACGTATGACCACAATTGAGCCCAACATTTCTGTTATTAAATGAGACATTTATTAAGAGAGTTTTGCCCCGTTTTCTGACCTTCCTTGCTGCAGTTGTTAGGTGAATCACCACAGATATTAAATTAGAAACACGTTTGTTAAGAGAATCTGGCTTCCCCATTGACTTTGTCTATCAGAAGGCTGCAAAAAGTGATTACATGATCCCAAGGCATTGCAACCATCATAAATAGAAGTCAGTTGCCAAGAGTCCACATTTTGATCACGTGACCATGGGTATGCTACAATGGTAGTAAGCTGAAAAATAGTCATGAGTCACTTTTTTTCAGTGCTGTTGTAACTTCAAGTGGTCACTAAATGAACTCTTGCAAGTGAAGGACAATCTGAATACAAGGGGTTACTTCAGAGTAGTTCCTTCATTGTTGTTCACCTCTAGACATTAATCTTGGAATCTGGACTACAATTAAGATTGGCTTTCTACTCCTCAAAATATTGCTTAGGTCTTCCGTAGCCTCAAGGATTTTCCTCAGTTTGGCTTACTTAGCATACGATTGATTCTGTCTGCATTTTTAATGACTTGAAAATATCTTTCTTTCAGAAAATTATTGGTCCTTGTTGCCAGATCCGTTTTTAGAGCAAATAGTTCAAATGTTGAAGACCTGTGTGTCAGTCATGTTGCCTTATTATAAGCTTTCTCCCAAAGACAAGTCATGGATCGATACCCTCAAAGTGCTTAAAAAGCTGTATAAGGTATGTCTGGTGACTTGGAAGTGATTGTGGAAAGTTTGCGCTGCCTCTTGATATAAAATCCATGGCTTTGACCTATAAATATTTTCCTTCAAGATCAACATGAAGGCTAAATGCCGACTGCAAACAAGTACCTTCTGCATAGATGAAATTCCTCAAAAAATTGACCTAGAAGAAGATTTTTGGAGATGGGAGTTATGTAAAGTAAGTACATTTTACATGGTTTCTTGGCCTTATGTAGAAGAAAAATATTAGAGCTCATGAAGCTTGGACAGCTTGGTTTGTCAATTGCTTACAAGATAATAGGTATAAGTAAAAACATAGTTATGAATACATGGATACATATAAGAAAAATAAAAGAAACAATAGGACAGGGATTGTAAGCACATTGGTGCGCTTATGCACGCCCCCTACAGACCTCTTAGGAAAGGGGTGAGGTCAATAGTAGACAGTCTAAGGTTAAATTTTTGGAGTTTGGGGAAGAAACCACAGAGTCAGGTAGAGTATTCCAGACATAGATCACTCTGTTGCTGAAGTCGTATTTCCTGCAATCAAGTTTGGTGCAATTAACCTTGAGTTTGTATCTATTGTTTGCTCTTGTATTGTTATGGTTGAAGCTGAAGTATTCATTGACAGGTAGGACATTGCAATGTATGAATTTATATGCTATACTTAGATCGGACCAAAGGCAGCGTAGTTCTAGGTTTTCTAGGTCTAGAATTTCAAGTCTGGTGGCATAAGGTATTCTGCAACGAGTAGAGGAGTAGAGAACTCTTCTTGTGAAATATATCTGGACTTTCTCAACTGTGTTAATATCAGATACATAATGTGGGTTCCAGACTGATGAGCTGTATTCGAGTATTGGTCTAGCAGATGTTTTGTATGCTCTAGTTAGTAGTGTAATATTACCAGAGAAAAAGCTACGTAAGATTAGGTTAACAACTCTTCAGCCTTTTTGGCTATGTAGTTACAGTGGGCTCTAGCATTTAGGTCATTTGAGATGAGTACTCCAAGGTCCTTGACAGAGTTTGGATCATCAACAAGGTCTTGACTATTCAGCCTGTATTTTATTTTCTGATTTTTTTTGCCAATATGTAGGACAGAGCATTTATTTGTTGAGATTTGAAGTTGCCATTTGTTTGACCATTCTGATACATAGTCGAGGTCTTTTTGAAGGGTAGCAGTATTGTCTGTGGTGTTGAATAGCTTTGCATCGTCAGCGTTGTAACATTGAATGGTCACTAAATGAACTGTTGTAAGTCAAGGACTATCTATATCTGACATATTAGCCTGACTAAGCAGTGAAATGGATGCTTTGCTATGGAATTATGAAAAGTTCTAAATTAGGGAACTGGAGAATTTGTGATTTTTCCTTTATGTCAGTTATGTAATTGTGCCCAAGCATAAACATTTGCTTTGAGAGAGGTGGTTTGTTGTTTTTATTTTTGAGGCATTGTTATAGAATGGAATGGAATAGAATAGAGAACAGAATAGAATAGAGAATAGAATAGAAAATAGAATAGAAAATAGAATAGAATAGAATAAAATAGAAAATTGAATAGAATAGCAATCGAATAGAATAGGAATGGAATGGAATAGACAGAATAGAAAATTGAATAGAAGAAAAGAGAAGAGAAAATAGAAGAGAAGAGA